TATCATCAAAAAAAGCAGCCTCATCATCATCAGCATCATCACCCTCATCATCATTAGCAGCATCATCAGCAGCAGCATCATCCTCATCCTCGTCCTCATCCTCATCAGCATCAGCATCACCTTCATCAGCAGCATCAACATCAACAGCCTGTTCATCATCATCCGCATCATCATCAGCATCATCATCAGCATCATCATCATCGTCGTCGTCATCATCATCATCATCATTATCATCAGCATCGCCATCCCTAGCCGTTGCTTCATCCTCACTCCCACCTTCTTCCCTCTCTGGCGTCCAAGGGTGGCGGAGCTGCCTGGGCACTCGGCGCGACACGCAGTCCTCGAGCCATCTCACGGCGTTGGAGTTGTAGTCGATCGTGCGCTTCGCCAGTCTCTTCGACTCGCGCGAGGAAAGAGCAGCAGCAGAGGGAGGAGGGAGGCAGCGGAGGGACGACGGGGAGAAGGAAGGAAGTAAGAGCGAACAGGGAGGGAGGAGGGACGAGGGGAGAGGAGTGGACAAGGGGAGAGAAGGGGAGAATGGGAGAAGGGTAAGTGAGGAACGAGAAAGCAGCGGGTGGTGGAAATGAAAAGGAGGGAGCAGGAAGCAGGGAGCCGGGAGCATGAAAGGGTGGAAGGGAGAATGACGGGGAAGGAAGGTGAGATATCTGGATGTGACTCCGAAAAATGCACAGCTGGTCTGCTAAGAAAGACGCGGGCTGCCAGTTTGTGTCGTATCGGCGACGCCTGGGAGCGACGATCCACCCGCCCTGAAGAGGACAGCGATGCAATCACAGCGCACTTGAGAGCAAGCGCGCTGGGCGGTGCGATCATGACAAAGAGATGGAGAAGAACGATGCTCAGAGCAACAAAAAAACAGCATAAGCACAAACATTCGGATGTCCTCAAGCAGGGCCCCAGAGGCTCTGGAGGTTCTGGAGACACCCCAAAACAAGACCAAAAACGCCCAAGAACTTCGATCCTCGATCCTCGATGAGGGAGGCCGCGCATCCGGGTCATCGATGCCCTTGCCGCGGCCCTTGCCATAGACGACCAGCTGACTGCTCATCGCGGGGCGGCTGGCTGCTCATCGCAGAGCATCGGGAGACACTCGTTGCAGCCACGGGTCCAGTCCGCCCCTTCCCCCTCCTCCTCCTTCTCCTCCTCTTCCTTCCCTTACTCCCCTCACCCTTCCTCCTCCCCCTCTCCCCTCCACTCACCCTCGCCCTCCTCCCTCTCTCCTCTTCCTCCACGGTGGCGCGAGAGGGAGACGGGGGGGAGGGCGGGAGCTCTGAGGCGGAGGGCCTCTCAGACAGGCGCTCGACTTGTGAGAGAGGGCTCCGTGGCAGGGGAAGGCTAAGCATGCCGATCCTGGGTTCAGGAGGAGCGGTTGATATGTAGTCCAGGGTCCAGGGCCCCCCCCCCTCCCACGGTTACGGTTCCCCCCTCCATGATGGCCCCCCATCCCCCATTTCCTGTGGTGTGGTGTGGTGTGGTGTGGTGTGGTGTGGTGTGGTGTGGTGTGGTGTGGTGTGGTGTGGTGTGGGGTGGGGTGGGGTGGGGTGTGGTGTGGTGTGGTGTGGTGTGGTGTGGCGGTGTGGTGGTGCGGTGGTGTGCCTAGGTCTTATTCAAAAACGCCCTGGGCGCTTTGTTTACCGTTTTGCACTTTGGGCTCTTGCCAAGCTGAGAACGCTTCTCAAATTTAAACCAAAAACGCGACGGTGTGTTATCGTCTTTAGATCCGTTGTTTTCGTGTTTCTAGGCCCGTCGCTGTGGATCATCATGTTTTAAAAATTGATTGCTTTCTGGTCGAAGGCTGTTCCTTGTCTTCCCTGCTGTCTTCGCTCCCGCTCCCTAACACCGGTCTAACACCAGCGCGAAATAGACCTGGAGGCCCGATGGCCCCGGGAGGGACAATCGGCCATCGGGCCCGCCAGACTGCACGCCAAGAGAAGGACTGCATGCCAGGAGGAGGAACGAAGGGTGTCGGTTACCAATGCATTCAAATGATCTGAAAACACTTTGAAAAACGTATCTGAAAACACACAACAAATGAAGCGCTGTTGCAAGCGCAAAAATGGCCAACACGCCGAAATATAAGAGTGGCGTTAATTATATAGCACGACTACTCCTGATAATGGCAAAAATGAAAATACGAATGAAAATAAAAAATGAAGATGTTGACAAGTACAAGTCTAAGTGTACTAACATTAAAACAATTCTTAATACAAATATAATGATACTGATAATGCTGAGAATCACAATACACAAAAAAACGCCCTGGGTATATATAAGAAGAACCAAGGTGGTGTGGTGGTGTGGTGCTGTGGTGGTGTGGTGGTGTGGTGGTGTGGTGGTGTGGTGGTGTGGTGGTGCGCTGGTTTGCACAGACTGGGCGACTTGACTCCCCAGGCGAGGATGCACGCGGCTCCCTGCGGGCTTCGCGGGGCCGATCCCCACCATGGGGGGATGGGCCGTTGGGGCCGAACTTCGGCGGCGGGCGAGAGGCGGATGTGAGAAGGAGAAAGCCTCGCCATCGCTCGGACGTCCATTCCCTGTGTTTTTTTTCGGTTTCGTGCGTGGCTTTTTCGCCAAATGATCAAGGATGCTCCTCGATGGTTCTCGCCGAGAAAAAATGCACACGTCCGAGCGATGCCAGCCTTCCCCCCCATCGCTCGCCGCCGAGAAATACCACGGCCCAGTGGGCATGCAGGTCGGCTGGACGATGCCGAGGGACCTCGCCGCCCGAAGTTCGGGAGGGCCGCGTCGGTGGCCGAGGCGAGGGTCTCCCCAAGAACTGGCACCATGGGGTCGCGCACCGCCGCCGGGCCCGTCGGGTCGGCCGGGCGCGGGAGGCGCGTCGCCGCTGGCGCGCGCACGTGCGCGAGATGAGAAAGATAGAAAAGGAAAAGATAGGGAGAGAGAGAGAGAGACAGAAACAACAAAAAAACCAAAACACAACGAAACACAACAACACCAACCACAACCATAACCACAACAACAACAACAACAACAACAACAACAACAACAACAACAACAACAACAACAACAACAGCAAAGATAATAACAACGACAAAAAAACAACAATAACAAGAACAACAACAACAACAACAACAACAATAACAACAACAACAACAACAACAACAACAACCACAACCACAACCACAACCACAACAACAACAACAACAACAACAACAACAACAACAACAACAACAACCACAACCACAACCACAACCACCACCACAACCACAACCACAACAACAACAACACCAACAACAACAACAACAAAAACGCAAAGAAATGCGAGAGGGAGAGGGAGGGAGAGGGGGAGGGAGATAAAGAGATAGAGAGAGAGAGAGATATTCCACATGTATATATATATATATATATATATATATACATATATACACACACGTACCGATAGAAAGGGGTAGAGAGAGAGCGAAACAGAAAGAAATTGCGAATGAGAGGGTGGGAAGAAAAAAAAGCGCGAGAGAGAGAGAGGGAGAGATCGGCTGGCTTGAAAAAATCGAAGTGGCAGCTGCTGTTTTTCCATTCTCGACCACTGCAAGGGGCCTTTCCTGGGCCCCCTAACCGTCAGATGACGGCTCAGGACGGAACGGGCCCCACCGGAAAAGGTCGAATGGCTTTGGGGACTTGAAAAACAGGGCCCCTAAATGTCAAAGGCCAGCGGTGAATCTGCAAAATCTTGTTACCCATGCTCCTCCCCCTACGTAATCGTCCTCCTCCTCCACCTCCTCCTCCTCTTCCCTCCTACTCCTCCTCCTCATAACCTCACTTCCTCCTCCTCCTCCTCCTCCTCCTCCTCCTCCTCTTCCTCCTCCGTCTCCTCCTCTTACTCTTCCTCTTCCTCTCCCCCTCCCCCTTCCTCTTCGTCTTCCTCCTCCTGTTCCTCGTCCCCTTCATCCTCCTCCTCCTCCTCCTCCTCCTCCTCCTCGTCCGCCTCCTCCTCCTCCTCCTCATCATCACCCTCCACATCATCCTCCTCCTCCTCCACCTGCTCCTCCTCCTCCTCCTCCTCCTCATCATCATCATTATCATCATCAGCATCATCATAATCATCATCGTCCTCATCATCATAATAATCAACATTATCATCATCAGCATCATCATCATCAGCATCATCATGAGCATAATCGTCATCATCATCGTCGGCATCAGCAACAGCATCAGCAGCAGCCTCATCATCAGCAACATCCCCCTCCTCCTCCTCATCCACCTCCTTCTCATCCTCGGCCTCCTCCTCCTCCTCCACCTCCTCCTCCTCTTCTTCCTTCTCAGCCTCCCTCCTCCTCCTCCTCCTCCTCTCTCTCCTCCTCCTTATACTTCTCCTCCTTGTCTTCTTATTGTTACTGATACTATTTGTATGATTACTCTCTTCTCAGTTGTGGTGTTAGTCTTAGTGTTACGAATAGTATTACTCTTCAGCAGTCGTACGATTAGTGAGCCGATTGTCGTTATTAGTCCTGCTCGTTGTTATTTATAATAGTTATGTTCCGTACCTGTTGGCTAAAACTACTGCACGTGTTATGATTCATACTGTTATTATTAAACAGCAGTATTATGATTAACTAGTGCAGCTTTTCCTCCTCCTCCTCCTTCTCCTCATCCTCCTCCTCCTCCTCCTTCCCCTTCTCCTCCTCCATTCCTCCTCCACCTCTTCTTCCTCCTCCTTTTCCCCCTCCTCCTCCTCCTCCCCCTCTTCCTCCTCCGCCTCCACCGCCGTCTCCACCGGCACCTCCGCCTGCGTCTCCGCCTCCGCCTCCGCCTCCGCCTCCGCCTCCGCCTCCTCCTCCTCTTCCTCCTCCTCCTCCTCCT